TGTATATGTTTATGTATATATATATATTTGTATATGTATATATATATGTATATATATGTATATGTATATATGTATATATATGTAAATATATATGTATATATATGTATATGTATATATATGTATATGTATATATATGTATATGTATATATATGTATATGTGTATATATGTATATGTGTATATATGTATATGTGTATATGTATATATATATGTATATATATATATGTATATGTATATATATGTATATATGTATATGTATATATATATATGTATATGTATATATGTATGTAAATGGTAAATGGACTGCATGTAAATAACGCCTTTCTATCTTATGATGATACTCAAATCGCTTTACACTAAAAGCTGTGCCGTCATTTAGCTACACACACATTCATACACTACTCCACTATATCTCTACAATGCTGATCTGAATAAATCCTGCTTTATAGATTAATCAGTGCTTTTAGATCACATTCATACACCGATGGGACACACATCAGAGGCAATGACGAGTTCAGTGTCTTGCCCAGGGACACAAGTGAACGTCTTGAGTGTGTGTGTGGGGGGGACCCCATAAAAATGCTTTATAAAATGGAGACTTTGTAAAACTCTTAACTGGTTCATTTGCATGCACTAAAACTACAGATAAACAATGTACTTTTTTTTACTGTTGATGTAGCAAACTATTTTGGACATGTCCTCTATTTTTTTGTACCCTAAAATAACAAAACAAAACAGTTTTTGTCAGTTTTTCTACATCTGCATTGTTTCATTCTGATCCTTTCAAACAGGACTATGAGATTGATGGGGGATGTTCTGTTTTTGTCAAAGGTTAAAGGATGGTTGTGAGATCCTCCCAAGTGACAACATTACCCAGCAGGCAGAGGGGACCATGAGGAGGTTAATCATCCGTTCTGTAGAAACGTCAGATGCAGGAAGTTACACTTGCCAGGCAGGAAACAACAGCATGGAGTTCACGGTGAATGTCAAAGGTGCATCTCCTGATCATTCAAACTGTGTTGAAATGCTCCTTTATTTGCATGCCAACCAAGTAGGATCACATTATATAGAGGATTTGTGTCCATCCACCGTATCCATTTTCATTTCTCCAACCATAAAACTAGAACCTCCAGTGATGATTGTGGAACCCAAGAATGATGTTGTGATGGAGCATTACGTATCAGAAGAGATCAACTTGCAGTGTGAGTTATTTCGTTCTAATGGAATGATACGGTGGTTCAAGGATGGCCAGGAGGTGAAGGAAACCAGTAACATTCAGCTTCTGTCAGAGGGTCCTTACAGGAGGCTAACCATCTTCTGCAGCTCAGTGGATGATAGTGGAGAGTATGTCTGTGAAACGAATGGAGACTCTGTTTTCTTCCAGCTAACTATTACAGGTAAAACTTCCAACTATACTAATACATGTTAAAGTGTGCAATTTAGTATGGTTCAATAACTTTTAGATTTTGAATATATTTCTCCTGCACCAGAGCCACCAATAAGAATAATTTCCCCCAGTGAACCAGAGGTGGAACTGGCACACGTTGCTTCAAAGAGACTGGAGCTCAGTTGTGAGGTCTCTCAAGCAGACGCTCCTGTTCGGTGGTACAAGGATAGTTTGGAAGTAGAGGAGGGCCCTAACTTGATCCTGCAACTAGATGGGGCCAAACGGAAACTACTTATCCCTTTCACTACAGTGGATGATACTGGGGAGTATATCTGTGACACTGAAAATGACTCAGTTACCTTCCTGGTTACTATTACAGGTGAGGAGGACATTTAGCATGATATCTGATCATTTAATAAATATATTCCTTCTACTTTTTGCTTACCTCTTGACTTCTTTTTATTTAGAGCTACCAGTAACACTTAGTCATTCCGAAAACACCACTGAAAGACTAGAGTGTCTTGTCGGTAAACCAATTGTTTTAGAGGTTAAGGTATCGCGGCCAACAGCAGAAGTTAAATGGCTACTAAATGGCAAAGAAATCAAAGAAAGCAGCAATATCACTATCACAGAGGATAAAATCATTCGTCGTCTTACCATCAGTTCTCCACTTGTAGAAGACTCTGGGAAATACACCTGTGACGCTATTGATGATCAAATTGATTTCCAGATCAAAGTTTCTGGTAAGAGTCCAAGGTTGTTATAATGGTTATTTCAGTCTTTCCATTAAAAAACATGTTTTAGATTAGTGTCTTTATACTTCCGCAGAACCACCTGTGAAGATCTTAAGAAAGTCAGACATCAAGACAGACCTAAAGTTCCTGGTTTCAGATGACATTGTGCTGGAGTGCGAACTCTCTAGAGCCAATGGCAAAGCCAAATGGTACAAGTATGGGTGTCGCATTGATGGTAATGAAAGGTTTTGTGAGGAGGAAGAGGGTGCTTTCTGCTCCTTGGTGATCCTTAATGCTGAACTTGGGGACTCAGGAGAATATGTTCTTGATGTTGAAGATGACAGTTTCAGCTTCCAGGTTACAGTACATGGTAATATTGAAATATTCATTCCTTTTGTTTAAAATGAATTTTGATGATGATGATAATAATAATAATTAATAATAATAATAATAATAATAACTTTTTTATTTTTATCTTAGAACCCCCAGTGACTATTGTAGGAAATTCATACGACTCTGATTACCAGGAATTGGTAGTAGGCGATGACTTGATCTTGGCCTGTGAGTTGTCCCGTGCCAATGCCCCAGTCCAGTGGTACTGTAATGACAGGCTGCTCACCAATGACTCCCGTACCTGCATAGAGACATTTGGGATTCTGAGGAAACTTACCATCTCAAGCATCCAACTCTCAGATTCTGGAAAGTACGTGTGTGATGCCATGGATGACAAGATGATCAGCATGGTTAGGGTTCAAGGTATAAACCTAGAATGTTTGTTTTTTAGGGTCTATGGGAGGTGGAAATAGTCATAAATATATCTAATATTTGTCTTTATTCATTTCCAATAAAGAACAACCAGTGACATTTGTGAACAAGGAAGATGACATTGTAGTGACAGGCTACGAAACAGAGAGCATAACCATGACAAGCTACGTGTCCAAGGAAAGTGCTGCTGTGCTTTGGTTGAAAGACTGGACACCAGTGGAAGGTGAACGCTTCCTAGCACACATGGAAGGCTGTAAACACACTTTAACCATTGAGCCATTGAGGCGCTCTGATGCTGGCGAATACACGTGTGATGCCAATACAGACCAGATACGCTTCAGTCTACTGGTGAAAGGTTACAACTTCTGATTCATTTCATACTTCCTAAAGCAGTTGTAGAGGTTTTAAAGAACAGTTGAAAACTTTCATTTTTACATTGCAGAAATGAGAATAAAGTTTGTACGGCCCCTCCAAGACACTCTGGCTCATGCTGATGGCATGGTGACTCTGCGTTGTGAGGTGTGCAAACCAAAAGCAGATGTCCAGTGGCTCAAGAATGGTGTAGAAGTGGTCCCAAGTAGGAGATTCTCCATTCGAGCAGATGGAGTTGAGCGAAGCTTGACCATCCACCGGTTAACTCAACAGGATGCAGGGGAGTATACCTGTGAGTCCAGAGATGACTGTACCACTGCAACACTGAGAGTAGAGAGTAAGTATGCATGAGATTAGATTATTTGACTTTTTGTTTACATGATAGTAACTTTTTTCTCTGCCTAATGTCTTTTAAGTGCCTCGAGTTATTGAATTTCTCACTGAGCTTCATAACACTACCGTACTGGAAGGCGAAGATGCCACCTTCAAGTGTGTAGTCTCTCCTGAGGATGTTCACTTTATTTGGCTCATGGACAATGAACCTATTAACTTGAACAATCATTTCCAAGCAACCCAGAATGGCTTGTGCCACACTTTAGTTATCAAAAAGTGCCAAATTCTGGACTCCTCAAAGATTACGGCAGAAGCTGAAGGAAAGACGAGCAGAGCCAGTCTCAAAGTTCAGGGTAAGTCCTTTCTCAAGACAACAACATACTTGTGTATCACTGAAACTAGAATTAGGTCTCAGTGCATTTACATACATTTATGCTTCACTTTACTTTCTTTAGAGGCTCAAGTCATGTTTACGAAAAAAATGGAGGCTGTTACAGCAGAAGAGTTTGGTGAGGCTACCTTAGAAACAGAAATCAGCTTGGAGACAGGTGAGGTCCAATGGATGAGGCAAGGGGTGGTCATCCAGTCTGGTCCCCGTCATACACTGGCCCAGAATGGCTGTAAACGCAGCCTAACGATCTACAACCTGACTTTGTCGGACCGAGGAACTTACCGCTGTGAGACTCTGCATGACCGGACGCAAGTCAAGCTTAATGTAGAATGTAAGTAGTTTGTAATAAGTAAGTAAGGCCCTGCTTGTACAAGAAACACTCTGGAAACATAGTGTTTTTTCAATGTTTATTTGGACAAATAAACAAAATAGACCAGGTTTGCATAGACATGCTGTGGTTTTCATGTCAGGCAGTGCTGACAGCTATGGTGATCCTTTGTACTATCGCTTTAAAATTATTCAAGGTTCAAGATTCAAGGTGACTTTATTGTCATTCACATCACATGTGCTACATGAAGTGGAACTAAATGGTGTACTTAAAGTCCCAGTTACACCTAAAAATAGCAATAATATAAAATATATAAAAAAGAAACAGTATACAAGGATCTAAGCTATGCTACACAGTCAGGTTTTCCCCAATAAGCACTCCAGTTATCTATGTAGCCCACATTGTTTTCAGGACACTAGGTTGGGGAGGGGACCAGAAAAAACTACGAAGTCCAATACAGTTTTTGTGAAGTTACATACAGAAGCAACATTAATTTTAGTGACCTCCGATTGGCGTAACCGGGTGTTATTACCGTCGACCTTAGTCTTAGTCAGCAGTTTCAGATAGGATTTGGTGTCACCCACTCTGGGTCCCAGAATGCATTTGACTATGGTCACTGGAGTCCCTAGTGCCACGTTTTGGACTATGGCGCTCCCAATGACCAGGGTCTGCTTCTCAGTGGGTGTGACACTTGAGTATGGAAAATCGATTGGAAATGTGAACCGGTTGTGGTAATCTGGTGGTTTAGCCTTAGCAATACGTTTATGGACCATTACCCAACCGGCTTGAGGTCCCAGCTGCTGTGGGTCTGCTAAAGGACCACAAACAGGAGCCAGTCTCTGTGGCTCTGTGCTGCCTAAGGGAATCTGGCTAGCAATTGGTTTTTCGCCAGCATGGAGCTGAGCTTCCAATTCAGACAGCCTCTCCTCCAAAGCTACTATAAAAATTTATTACACATACCATTATCACGAAAATTGGCAGAAGAATATCTGAACATCTGACACACAGAGCAAGTGAGAACAGAGGAAGCCAGATGAGAACCAGAACCCATTATGTTTTACATTGATCCCTCATCTGTCGTTATGTTCCAGTGACCCCCACGATAGTTGAAAATTAACGAAAGTGGCGGCATTATATTATATACAAACCAGATTCCAAAAAAAGTTGTGACACTAAATAAATTGTGAATAAAAACTGAATGCAATGATGTAGAGATAGAAAATGTCAATATTTTATTTGTAATATAACATAGATGACAGATCAAATGTTTAATCTGAGTAAATGTAACATTTTAAAGGAAAAATATGTTGATTCAAAATTTCACAGTGTCAACAAATCCCAAGAAAGTTGGGACAAGTAGCAATAAGTGGCTGGCAAAAGGAAATTGAACATATAACGAACAGCTGGAAGACCAATTAACACTAATTATGTCAATTGACAACATGATTGGGTATAAAAAGAGCTTCTCAGGGTTTCATTGTCTCTCAGAAGCCAAGATGATAAGAGGATCACCAATTTCACCATTGTTGTGCAGAAAGATAGTGCAGCATTACCAGAATGGTGTTACCCAGCGTAAAATGCTGAAGGAGCAGCGTGAAGGAGCAGGGCTGCGTGGTGCTCGAGAGAAGTTCGGAGTTTACATCAGAGTTGCTGCAGGCCTCCATCCAAACTCACCTGGATAATAATTAATTTTATTCCGGATCACGCTGTTGGCCCCTGTTGACCTGAAACGAGCTAGGATCATGCCTTTCACTTCAGGAGGATTTTCTGGCAGCTCGCTCTGCTGTTTGCTGCGAATTATCTGTTTCTGTTTTGGCCTGTTGATATTGGACCCAGCTTCTGTTTCCCATGGGAGCATCCATCCATCTTCACTGGGGGGCCGGAGCCACCCTCAGCCCAACTCAAACTGCAGTTGGGCCACCTCGTCGGGTTTGTTTGCCCATTTGAACTGTGACGTTTTATGGTCTGAGACTTTTCTGCATCATTCATATTATTGTCACTATTTTCAGTTCTCAGATTATCTGGAGTCACTGAATCTTGTTAATACACCTGGATCTGCCCATCACTGCAACTTTCACTGTTTTTGGGTTCTGAATGATCGCGTCTTCATTAATGTTTCTCATGATTCGATTATGGGGGCTAATTGTCACACTGTTAACTCCTGTAATTACACATAAGTCACAAAAAACTCAAGAAAATGTCTGATAATAATGTTGTTACTGCTCTCAGGGATTCAGCCCAACCCTGGGCCCCCCACTAATTACAGCACACCAAATGACTTTAAGAACGTGTCTGGACTTCATTTTCTGCATGTAAACGCTCATAGCCTTCTGAGAAAACTCGATGCCTTAAAAATTCTGGTCAGTTCTTCTGGGGCAGATGTAATCTTCATCTCTGAAACCTGGCTCAACAAATCTGTACTCAATAATGACCTGGTAATCAATGGATTTAACATCTACCACTGTGATCGTCAAAAAAAGTGGGGGGGGGGTCGCTTTTTACATCAGAGATTCTTTGGTTGCTAGTCCTGTGTCTTCAAAAACAATTCCTAACCAAATTGAGGCCTTAGCTGTAAACATCATTTGAATGGAGGCCAGATTTTATCTGTAGTCTGTTGTTACCGTCCACCTTCAGCAACACCTGAGGCTCTGTCTTCCCTGATGGAATTCCTTGGTAATTTCAAATTCAAAGAGATCTTTTTGGCCGGTTACTTCAACATTGATTGGGCTAAGTCAACCCCCCTCTGTGATAAATTCAAGGAATGTTGCCTGTCTCTCAATCTTACCCAATTGATCAACTCTTGGACAAAATTAAACAAAAACCGTCCTGAAAAATCCTCCATCTTAGACCTGTTTCTAACTAATATGCCTCACAAATTCCCTGGTACAGTTGTATTTGCCAATATCTTGAGTGATCATTGTGTGACAGCGGCTTTGAGAGATATTAAACTTCCACCTTCTAAGCCCAGATTAATTCAAAAAAGGGATCTGAAACATTTTTGTGAACAGTCATTCCTCTGGGATCTGTCTCACTTTGACTGGCATCATATTCTGTTAACTGATTGCGTGAACTCCGTTTGGAACTATTTTCATAATAGTTTAATTTATTGTGAACAAACATGCTCCTTTTTGTCAGTTCAGAATAAAGGGATGTGACAGCCCCTGGTTTACTCCAGAGCTAGCTGACCTCCTGCACAGGAGAGATCATCTTTGGGCTGCAGCAAGAAAATCTGACTCAGACACTGATTGAGTGAGTATTCGACAGATGAGGAATAAATGTACAACTGCTGTCAAAGGAGCAAAACACAACTATTTCTTATCTCAGACCTCCAAAAATCTAAATGACCCCAATAGATTCTGGAAAACCATCAAATCTCTCTCAGGCACCTCCCAATCATCTGACCTCCCATCACAACTTCTCATTAACTCTGTTCCTGTGTCAAATAAGCACGAAATCCTGAACTGTTTCAACAAACATTTTGTTGCTTCTAGTTCTTTATTTGACACAGTTATGAATGGAAAATCAACCACTTCACTTAATAATCAAACTTGTACAAATCAAATCCCTCCTACAAGTCAATCCTCAGTTAAACACAGCTTCTCTTTTTCTCCGTTCTCAGTCAGTGAGGTCAATAAACTGTTAAAAGATCTTGATCCTAAAAAATCTGCAGGTCCAGATGAACTTTCACCTTATTTCTTAAGGCTGGCTGCTCATATCATCACAGTCCCTGTGACCCACATCTTCAATCTCTCCATAAGACAAAACTCCATCCCGGACACTTGGAAAACAGCCTTTGTTCTTCCTTTGCTGAAGGGAGGTGACCCCACCTCACTGAACAACTATCGACCAATCTCTAAACTCTGCATTTTAGCCAAGGTTCTAGAAAAACTGATAAACTCTCAAATCAAAAATTACCTGGACTCATTTAACATCTTACCTTCCCATCAATCTGGTTTCAGGAAACAACACAGCACAACCACTGCTTCACTGAAGGTTCTTAATGACGTTGTTGAAGCACTGGATGCTAAGGATTATTGTGCTGCACTTTTCTTAGACCTGTCTAAAGCTTTTGACACTGTGGATCATACCATCTTGTGTCATAAACTCTCAGAAATCGGTTTCTCAGATCACACCATTGGTTGGTTCTCTAACTATCTTTCAGACCGGAGGCAATGTGTTCAACATAATGGTACTTCCTCCAGTTATTTAACAGTCAACAATGGTGTACCACAAGGCTCAGTCTTAGGACCCACCCTCTTTACAATCTACATACATAATGTAGGTAAAAACATCCCTAATGCATCCATACATTTCTATGCTGATGACATAGTTGCTTATTGTCGAGCTAAAACTGTTGCTAAGGCTTTTCAGCTTTTGAATTCTGCATTTAGCTACATCCAGACTGATTTGTTCCGCCTCAAACTTGTCCTAAATGCCGACAAAACCAAAGGGATGCTTTTTTCAAATAGGAAGTTGGTCCCAGCAGTTCTTCCTCCGATTTTGTCCTCAAATGGTGTCCCGATTGAGTTTGTTGATTCCTATAAATATTTGGGTGTCTTGGTCGACTCACATCTCTCTTTTAAGCTCCATGTGGAAAACTTGGTAAAGAAACTGAAAGTTAAACTGGTTTTCTTTTTCAGAAACAGATCCTGTCAAACCCTAAATGCTAGGAAACGCCTTGTATCTGTGACTTTCCTTCCCTCCATTGATTATGGTGACATTATTTACATGAACGCTCCTACAAGAACCCTGCAGATGTTGGATGCTGTCTATCATGGTGCACTAAGATTCATAACTGGCTGTGATTATCGTACCCACCACTGCACCCTGTGTTCACTGGTTAACTGGACATCATTAACTTCACGCAGACTCTCCCACTGGTACATTTTCATCTTTAAATCACTTCTTGGTCTGCTGCCTTCATACATCTCCTCCTACATGTCTCTGCGTGAGTGCAGCCACAGTGTTCGCTCTCAGGACATTATTACCTGCAGTGTTCCCTC